CTCTGTCTTCGGAGCGAGGGGAGGCGCGTCTCGCATCCTTGCCGCGGAGTCTGAAGTGCATGAGAAGGCACTTGCAGAAGTGCAAATAAGGATTCTTACACATGGGCCCCCCTGTAATATTCCCACGCAAAAGTGTCTCCGATTGGATTCCAGAGTGGGCTTCCAATATGTCGGGTTCCCACGCGTTGGAGTTCCGATTGGATTCCAATGCGCATGGTTTCCAGATGGATTATTGAACAGCGGAAGTTCCCAAAAGGACTGTTGCACACTGAATTTCCAGTCGGGTTTCTATACCATGGGTCTCACATCCTACACAATGGGTTTCCATCGATATTCCATACACTGAGCTTTCAATCCGAGTCCGACGCGTTGGATTTCAAAGAGGATTGACACTGGGTCTCCAATCGGATTCGGATGAAACCAATGTCAACTCGAACTCGGAATCCTGCGCAATGTGTTCCCAACCGGATTTCTTGGCAAAGGGCTTCCGATTGAAATCCAAGACGATGGGATTCCAATGGGGTTCCTACACAACGGATCTCCATTTGGATTCTGATACAAGGAATGCCACAACGGGTCCTGCAAACTAGGCTCTCGACAGGGTTCTGACACAATGGGTCCCACATCTGAATTCTGCACAAACGAGTTTCCAACATGGTTCCTGCGCTATGGAATTATTGGGGCCTTCGGTGGGGCTCCTTGGGTGCCACCCAGCGTGTGAGGGGCGGGGCGAAAGCAATGCAGTGGCGGCGCGCGAGCGCAGCCACTTGGGCCTGCAGTGGGGTCCTATTGGGAGATGCGAAGCTTGTGAGAGGGCGAGAAAGCCATGAACAATGATTGTCCTTGCGATTTGTTTGACGGGCGTTGGACTTTCGGGGTCCTCTTTGGTCCGTTTCGTGCATATCTTGGGCCCGTTTTGGGGCTTTCTGGGGCCATCCTGGAATGATCTTGAGGCCTCAGGAGCCGATCGGAAGCGAAACGGCGAGAAAGCCAAACAACGTGATGTTGTTTTTACCGTTTGAAGGGTCGCGGTATCTTGGGGCCCTCATGGGGCCGTCTCGTGGCTCTGTTGGGTCCGCCTAGGGGCCGCGTCCATGAATTTGGAGGCCGCCCCTGGCTTAGCCGGGTCGTCGACCGAACTGTCGTTTTCGTCCCACGTGTCCCCTGCAAAATTGGTCGCTCGCAGAAACGCCGGTTCGCCCTCCGCCTCCAGGGTGGAACTCGCCGAAAGCATGCGTCGCATGTTTCTCGCACTCTTCGAGTTTGCTGGGCTGTCGAATGTCGGACTTCCTTTTCTCGGGAAAAGCTGCCATCCCATCGAATGGATATCCTCTGCCTTTCACCGCTGGTGATGGTGGTCCTGATATGGCTGCAAGTGTCAAGAGGGCCGTCGGAGTAGGAGTCGCGGGATGTTGTCTGGTCGTTGCAGACATCGCTGGAGGTCGAATCCTGATCGAAGCTGTCGTTACAGCGGTACCATTTGCTGAGCGCGTCGTCCAGCAACTTCTGGAGATATGGAGAGCGCGAGCGGATCGGAACCAGCCCCGCTGTCAACATGAATTGATCAGAGCTCCCGAAGCCTCTCAGGAAAATGGAGGGAAACATCTTCATCAAGAAAATGATCGTTAATTTTCTCACACCGCTATGCTCGCATGACTCAAGGTCCCTGTTGGGTTCAGTTCGGGCACTCCGGGCAGCAGGAGGACAGTGTCTCTTATGCGATTATGCCTGCACCGCTGCTGCTATACTACGCACGTACAATACACAGCGTGTATATAATACCTTCTCTTCCTCCTCCTCTACGGCACGGACGAGAATCAAGTCGAGTTCACAGCCCGTCCCGATTCAGTTCAGTCGTCAGAATTATGCTGGTCCTACATTCCGATCCTTCTTGCTGCGCTGTTGCACAGGGACGGTGGCAGGATTCGCCGCAAGCACCTGGATGGTAGTGGTAGTAGTAGTAATAGTAGTAGTAGTAGTAGTAGTAGTAGTAGTAGTAGTAGTAGTAGTAGCAGTAGTAGTAGTAGTAGTAGTAGTAGTAGTAGTAGTAGTAATCGTAGAAGTAGTAGTAGTAGTAGTAGTAGTAGTGGTAGTAGTAGTAGTAGTAATAGTAGTAGTAGTAGTAGCAGTAGTAGTAGTAGTAGTAGTAGTACTCGTAGTAGTGGTAGTAGTGGTAGTAGTAGTAGTACAACTGATTCCACTAGTAGTACGAGTCGTAGTAATACTTATAAGAATAGTAGTAGTAGTAGTAGTAGTAGTAGTAGTAGTAGTAGTAGTAGTAGTAATACTATCACTACTACAAATACTACTACGATTACTACTACTACTACTACTACTACTACAACTACTACAACTACTACTACTACTACTACTACTACTACTACTACTACTACTACAAATAAGAATATAAATAATACTACTGCTGCGGCTGCTGCTGCTACTACTACGAGTACTACTACTACTACTACTACTACTACTGCTGCTGCTGCTGCTACTACTACTACTACTACTACTACTACTACTACTACTACTACTACTACTACTACTACTACTACTACTACTACTACTACTACTACTACTACTACTACTACTACTACTACTACTACTACTACTACTACTACTACTGGCACTGCATCTGGTAATAACAATGAAAATAACGATAACAACAAGAATAATAGTGGCAGTGGTAGTCATGGTAGTGGTAGTATCAGTGGAAGTAGTACTATGGGCACTAAAAGTAGTAGTAGTAATTGTAGTAGTAATAATCGTCGTCGTAGTAATAGTAGCAGTAATACTGAAAATGGTAGTTGTAGTGGTAATGGTAGAACTAGCAGTACTAGTAGTAGTAGTAAAGGTGACAATAACAAAAAAAAATGAGTAGAAATAGTAGTAGTAGTAGCAGTAGTCGTTTTTTTTGTTTTAAAAAAAAGAAAAAAAAATCGCCAAAGTAGTAGTAATAATAGTATTGCCTGTGGTCGTCGTACTAATAGTAGTGGTCGTAGTCGTAGTAGCTTAGTAGCAATAGTAGTAGTAGCAGTGACGTGGTAGTAGTAGTAGTGGTGGGAGTAGTAGTAGTACTAATAGTAGTCGTGAAAGTAGGAGCAGTAGCAGTAGTCACAGTTATAGTCGTAGTCGCACTCGTAGCAGTACTAATAATAGTAGGTGTTGCTGTAGAAGCAGAAGTACATGTATTAGTAGTAGTAGTAGTACTAAGAATTATGGTAATCGTAGCCGCAACAGTAGCATTAGGAGAAGAGGCAGTAGTAGTCGCAGTAGCACTCATACAAGCAATATAGTAGTAGTAATCGTCGTCGTAGTGATAGTAGTACTAGTGGTAATACTAGCAGTATCATTAGTAGTAGTAGTAAGAGAAGCACTAGTAGTGGCAATAGTAAATCGTAGTAGTAGTAGTAGTAGTACCAGCAATAGTAGTAGCAGCAGTAATAGTAGTAGTAGTGGCAGTGGTAGTAGTAGTAGTAGTAGTACTCGTAGTAGTAGTAGCAGTAGCCATAGTAGTAGTAGTAGTAGTAGTAGTAGTAGTAGTAGTAGTAGTAGTAGTAGCAGTAGTAGTAGTAGTAGTAGTAAAGGTAGTGGTAGTACTGGCACAACTGACAATATGGATAGTAGTATTAGTATTAGAAGTAGCAGTAGTAGTAATAGTAATAATAGGCGTACCCGCAACCGTCGACGATATCGTAGCAGTAGCCGCAGTAGTAGTAATCGTTGTAGTAGTAGTTGTTGCTGATGTACTAGTAATCGTGGTTGTAACAGTGGTGGGAACGGTGGCAGTGGTAGTAGCTGGCGTCGTCGCTGCCGTAATAGTATTAATAGCGGTAGCAGCACTCGCAGTACTCGGTGTCGGACCAGGTATCGGAAGCAATCTTGCAACACGTTCGCAGTACATATGAATTGAACGGTCCCCCCTCCCCCCGGATATATTGAAGGGATCTGCGTGTGTAAGGCAAACAAGTCAGCCGTGTGTGCCATACCCAGCGGTCGGCAGTCGGGGGTCGCCATCCCGTCCAGCCGGATACGCGCAGAGGACACAGCCGACGCCAGCTAGATTGGCCACCCCTGCCAGCAGCCCTGGATGTAAGCAGATAACTGCGAGACATTCAGCCTCCATTTGCCATGTCCTCCTCCACCCTACATCATCCTGCACTCATGATTAGCCTTTTCATTCACGCTGTACATCATCATCAACAGCATCGGCATCATCAGCATCAGCATCAGCATCAGCATCAAAATCATCATCAGCAACATCAACACCATCATCAGCAGCATCAGCAGCAGCATGAGCATCAGCATCACCATCCTCCGCATCAGTATCAGCACCAACATCATCATATCAGAACAGCAGATCATGAATGCGATCAGATACGAAGCTTAATGCAGATGCCCATAGTAGTAAGAAACATAAAAAAAATAATCATACAACTTATAGCCCTATGATGACAAGCATAAGCAGAAAAAGAATATGAATAATAATCGTACTTATCATTCAATGCTGAAAGAACAAAAATTCACATATGAGTAAGATGAAGACCCCATCATCATCACCATCAGCACCATTATCACCAACATGCTCATCATCACCATCATCATCAGAATCGGCATCCGCGTCATCATCATCATCACCATCGTTATCATTATCATAAGTAGCATCATCAATATACTCATCATCATCATCATCATTATCGTGATCAGTATCATCATGATTACCAGCATCGCCATCATCGTCCTCATCATCAACACCACCATCATCATCATAATCACCATCATCATCCTCATCAACCTCAGCAGCATCATCAGCAGCAGCAGCACCATCATCACCATCATCATCCTCATCCTCATCAGCATCATCCTCGCCCACATCATCATCATCAGCAACAGCAGCATCATCATCACCACCACCACCATCATCATCATCATCGTCGTCGTCATCGTCGTCGTAATACTCCCCATCATCTTCAATCAACAGCCCCGAGTGACTGCCGCGCCTCTCCGACGGTCATGCCCAAGCAGCCCTGGTCCCAGCCAGTGATGACCTTGCCCATTCCGGCCTCGGGCGGGCGGCTTGGGCGACGGCGCTGCCACCGATGCTTCCAGCCGCGTCGCTTCCTCCTCCTGCTGACCCTCATCCTCCTCCTCCCCTTCTCCAGGCGCCCCCCCCCCTTCCTCCTCTTCCTCCTCTTCCTCCTCCTCCTCCTCTTCCTCCTCCTCCTCCTCCTTCTCGCCCTCCTTCCCATCCTCCCCATCATCCCTCCTGCTATCCCGTCCTACAGTATCCTCAGCCCTGCTCCGTGTCCTCCAACTCCTCTTCCTCGTTCTCCTCCCCTAAATTCTACGTCACCTAACTTTGCGCGTCGTGTCCCGCGACGCCCGACGCGAAGTGATAGTCGCGCCAAGCCGCGATGCGCGAAGCACGATCATCTTCGCGCGAACTAATTGGACGGCCTTGCCGAAGGGAAACTGCTGGAAATTGCTGACCCAACGGGCCACAAGCGTGTTAGAGGGGGGAGTCGCGGCGCTACCACACCTGGGCCGTCCGTCACGAGAACAGAAAGAGCGATTCCGCGGAGCCTCCCCAAAAGCGATCATGATGGCATCGTCCGCTCATGGGAGCCTTGGCGTTGAGAGCACGTCACTGGTAGTTTTCTGGAGCCTTGGCGTCACCAGGTTCTTGGCGTCACTGTTTGCCCTTGGGAAACTGAGACTGAAATGGGGCGGAAAACTGCCCGAGTACTGATATGCTACACAGCACGCTGTTAGCACGCCAAGACTGATAACTACGCCTCACTCACACGCATCACTGCGGAGCGAAGACCACGGGCGGTAAAATCGCTCGGCGAGCGAACTCTACTCCGTCATGCCACCTCGTCTGCACCATTCCACGGCTAGCGCGGGTGTCCGTCCGGCCAGCCAGACACAATGCCCCCGTGGACCGTCTGCTGCCCGGCGGGAGCAGCGAGGCCCGGCGTCGGATGAACCACTCCCTGTCCCGGTATCTGCTCAACTTGGCCGCCCAGCTCTGCCCATTCCTGGGCCGGTCAAGGTGCTCCTGCCAATCAAGCACCCTCCAGAACCAGCGCCGGGACCAGACGCCCTGCTTGTTGCACTCGGCGGCGGCGGCGCGGCCACGCCTCCTGAAGTAGCACGCCGGCTCCTCACCAGGGCGTGGCGGCACCCGCATGATGGTGGCAACCATCCGGCGTTGAAGGATGTCCACCTCATCAGCTATGCGGCTGCGGAGGCCATCGCGACGACCGGAAATCCATCTGAGGCAAGACTGCCCGGTCCAGGAGGCGAAGGCGCTGACGCATCGTAAGCCCGCGCGCGGCTTTGGACCCCGGGTTGGCCCAGAAACCTCGCCACATCGCAGCGCGGGTGTTCTGCCAGCATGCCCGGATGAACCCAGTGTCCTGCAGCGTGTGGCCCAGGGCGGTAAACTCGTGGACCCGCGGCCACTTCGAAGGTAACTCTTCCGGGCCTGTCCCAGCAGCGGCCATGCAGGACCGGGAGGAGGGCTTAATGTGGAGGCCCCAATTCCGCTCCAGCTGCGCTTCGAAATCATCAAAGATGCTGAACGCCCCATGCAGGCTCCCGGAAACACTGAAGAGGTATTAGGTGTGTTTCAAATCACCGTTCGCCCTTTTGAGCCTTGGTGTTAAGACCTCTTTCTGTGACAGTTCACCCTCTGAGCCTTGGCGCTCAAAGCTTGCCACGTCATCGGGAGCTCTGGGAAGCCTTGGCGTCAACAGACGCTTACGCATCCGACTCATCTTGAAGGGGGTTTTGCGTCACATGGAGCTCTTCGGAACCTTGGCGTCAAAGCCTTGTCCGTCACTGGGCGGTCGGGGGGCGGGAGCCTGGACGTCAAAGTTGTGTCCGTCACTGGGCCGAAACTTACCCAGGAGGGCTCATGGCGCCGTTCGGTCTTGGGAGCGTTGGTGTGAAGAGCTCTCCGCGTCACCGCTCGCTCTTGGGAGCCTTGGCAGAGCTCTTTACGTCATCGTTCGTACTGGGAGCCTTGGCGTTCATCGGAAGTTTCCGCGTCACCGTTCGCTCTTGGGAGCCTCGGTTTTAAGAACTTGTCACGCCACTGTGAGCTCTTGGAAGCTTTGGTGATCAGAGCTTGTCACGTCACTGTGAGCTATGGGTAGCATTGGTGCTCAGAGCTGTTTGCATCACCGTTCAGTATTTGGAGCCTTGACTTTAAAAGCTTGATACGCAACTGTGAGCTCTTGGGAGCCTTGGTGATCAGCGCTTTCGACGTCTCTGCTTGATCTTGGGAGCCTTGGCGTTCAGAGTTTCACGTCGCTGTTTGCGCTTTGAGGGCCTCTTGAGAGGCTCTTACAAGCATATTGAAGGCCTCTTGGCGGCCTCTTGTGGCTCTTTTGGCGATCTTATGGGCCGGTTTGGGGCCCCCTTGGACCGTCTTATCGGGCTTGGGCCAGCTTGGGGCGCAATGTGGGCCCTCTTGGGAGCCTTCTGTGGCCCTCTTGGGGCGTTCCTGGAAGCCTCTTGGGGCTCTGTACGGCCCTCCTTGGGCCCTCCTAGGACTCTCTTGGGCTGTCTCGAGGTCCAAGAGGGCCCCTATTGAGGCCCTCTTGGAAGCCTCGTGGTACGAGTTGGAGCGATCTCGGAGGTTCCCAAAGCCGCCTTGGGCCGTTCTTGGCCAGAAAAGGGGAGAGCCCCAAAATCCCTCCAACACCTGAAGAACACCATTGTTGTTTGCCTCCTCTGGGCCTCTTGGGGGCCTCTTGGGGAGTCTTCGGGACCGCTTGGGCCGCATTGAGGCCATCTTGAGCCCTCTTGAAGCGTTCCTGGAGTCTCTTCTGGTCCTCGTGGGCCTGTCTTAGGCCGTCTTGGAAGCTTCGTTGGCTATCTTGGAAGCCTCCTAAGCCGTCTCGAGGCCTCCTGGGCCGAAAAAGCCACCAACATGGCCCCCATGTTAAAAAACTTCGCCCCGCCACGCCCCCCCCTTACACCCCCTCCCCCGGACTCACCCATTCTCACTGGAGGGCAACCACTGGCGGGCGGTCTTTCACAATAACCAAAACCTGATCGGACAAGAACGGGAAGCGCCGCTGTAGTCTAATGGTCGTATTGGGCGAAGAAGACAAGGAAGGCGAGGGCAACGAGGAGTCGATGACGAGGACGACGTGGCGAACGTGAGGATAGCGAGGAGGAGCATGAGGACAACGAGGAGGAAGAGAAGCACAAGGACGAGGACGAAGAGAACGAGGGCGAGCACGAGGAGGAATGCGGAGGGCAATGATGACGACGACGACAACGACGACAGAGGACAGTACGAGGCAATTGGAAAAAGACGTTGTTCCTGGCGCCGCGCGGGGCTCTCTTGGGGCCTGTTGGGGGCTTCTTGGGGGCCCCCTGGGTCCTCGTATGGGCCTCTGGGGTCTTCTTGGGCTGTCTGGGCGCGTCGTGCGGTTCTGTGGGAGCTTTGTTAGGCCGTCTCGGCGCTGGGGGCCTCCTGGGGCGCTCCCGTGAGTTTCTTGGGGCCTTCTTGGCCCTTTTCGGGCCGTCTTGGGGTTTTTGTCAGCTGTCTGGGTGGTTCCTAGAGCGCTCTTGGGGGTTTATTGGGGTTTTCTTGGGGCGCTCTTGGGCGCTCCTGGGGCTCTCCAGGGCGTCTGTTGGGCCTCCCTTGGGCCGTTGGAAAGCCCTCCAAGAGCGATTCGAACACGACGTCGATGCGGAGTCCCCTCTGGGGCCGATTTTTGGAGGATGTCTCGAGCGAAACGGCAATTTGTCAGAAACCTGACCGGACAAGAACGGGAAACGTCGCTTTAGTCCACCAAGCATGCGGAATATGCTCTGTTGTTGTTACGCCGCGAAGGTATGCCGTGGCGCGCGTGTCGGCGTGCGTGCGGGGTGTGTTTTGCTGTGTTCCTGTGTGTTCTGCAGTGCTCCTGTTTTGCCGTGTTTGTGTTCTGCCGCGCCTCTGTGTGTGCCGTCGGGCAACGCGCGGGCGAAGGATGGCGCTGGGCGCGTCAATGGCACCAGCCGACCAAACAATTCTGAATCAGGCGGTAAAATTCGAGACCCTTGGGCGGGTATATCTGTATCCAATAACACACACACACACACAAGAAAGGAAGAGTAGAACGATGGATAATACTCAACATGATATGGGATATCCCAGCCCAGGAGGCTCAACGTTGGGTCTCTCTCTCTCTCTCTCTCTCTCTCTCTCTCTCTCTATATATATATATATGTGTATATATATAAATATATATTCTCACGCTCTCGCCAGCGCGCGGCCACGGTCGCGGCGAGGCAGCGCAAAGCCGAACTCGGGGGAGGAGGGGGGGAGGAGGTGGAGGAAGGGGAGAAGGCGGAGGAAGCGGTGGAGGCAGAGGGAGCGAGGAGGAGGAGAGATGCTGGAAATGGCGTTGCACCTCGAGACCGCCTCACTCCACGCGTTTCGGATCGCCCTCCTCGAATTTAAAGTCCTTCTCCTCGCCTTTGGGATCCGCGCACGGCGGCGGGGGTTGAGAACTCGCCCCCTCGCGCGGGCAGTGCAAAATCTTGCGTTTGATGTGACCGGGCAAGCACACCTTCGCAACCATCTCAAGATAACCCACCCGACATGTTAAATCAAATGCAGTTTTCTTCAGCTCACGGTTCTGCCTCGCGGATTCGCACACGTCTTTCATCGCCTGCAACACCTCCAAGTTTGAGCGGCTGCACACTGTGAACGTAGCCCCCAGCGCTGACTGCAAGCAATCCTCAAGACCATCGCCCATGCTCTTGTCCTTGCCTGTGTCCTCGCCTGCGCCTTTCCCTGCCTGCACGCTGTCATTGCCTGCGCCTTTCTGCGCCGATGGCGAGCGGGATCGGTCGCGGGGACCATCGGGCATCGATAACAATGGTTTCGAACGAGGTCCTGACGTGCGCGCTGAGCGCGCGGAGAGTACTCGAGCCAATTCGGCCACTCACGCAAGGGGTCTGAGATCAAGATTATGTTGATTCTCAGCCCACGAGGTTCAACGTAGGGACATCGCCCTCGTTGGATGTTTTCGCTCTCTTTCTGCCCCAAACG